CAAGTTGTCAGACAGCCACTGGTTAACTTTTTGTGACACATTTTATAAGAGAGGTGAGCTTTAGGGTGGTGGAGTGATCAATATTAGCTATTATTTAGATATTATGTGCATCACCGCTTGGTTTCATCATGACAATTTAAAAAAAAAATCTTTAAGAAATAGAAACATTTGCTTTACCTACAAATTTGTAATATCTGGTGGATGATGAATGTAACTGTTATCTCGACAGGGATACTTCGAAAACAGGCCTCTTGCCAATGTTATAGTCATAAAACACATTTGGTAAAGGCACAGTATTTCCATTACTGAAATCAAGACGGAGATAATTATTTGAGTTAATTTTTATTAAAACTAAAGGCAAAGACAATTTGTCACACACAGTTCTAAACATTTGAAGGTCTTACTTCAAGGTGCATTGCTGTGAAATATATACTTTTCCAAGCTTTTATGAGAAGCGTTTTATGTCAAAATTGTTTTCATTCCAATGCTCTTTTGCATTCACAGTAAAAAAAAACCGTTAAAAACTTCACGTCTGCGGAAGTGAAGTCGATGTCTCTGACTTCAGCATATTCCACCTCATGCAGAGATGATGGGACGGGCCTGTAGGCCTTCTTCTGAGTGACTGTCGTAGCGTAGTCACGATAGGTGTTATCACCCAGTATRAAATGCACCCACATCTCTAGGGCCCTGGTGTATACTATCTATGCCATATATACTGCATATACAGGAGATACCTYACGGCCTGGCGCTGCCTATTGGAGCGGAGGTTTCAGTGCGGCCGCCATCCGCCATCTTGGATGGGTWCCTCTTGCGCTCCCAGCGCATTTATTTATACTGAGAAAGCTGTTCATCCAACTAAAATAATCTCAACTCCATGATTTTTCACATGATTTGGTTTGTTACAAACAGTAGAGATGTAATTATTTTATTGGACACGGTCACACAATAAAAATAAGAGCTTTCATGCTGAAATACTTTTATTATTATTATATTATTATTATTGTTAT